CTAAAATTGTAGGTGAATCTTAGGTAAAAGTCATCAGAAAAATTCAATTACTATAAGCAATATGATTACTTTTGCCAGGAAATCATTAGGTAAGACTGTGAAGGCCCTCTTGAGGACATTCATGGCATGGTGTAACTTTTCTTCGGAGGATGTCCAACACTACGATTTTCCACTTACTTGTAGGCCCTCATGATTGTCCATGTCCCCCACTAGACTTAGAGTGTGGGTCATATCCATTTGCATATCACTGTATCCTGAGCACAGGTCCTTATACAGACTGATCACTCAAATATGCTTCCTGAATAAGGAACATCCTATTCAATGACAGTTCTGGCCACCAAGCTTCCAACAAGGGGATGGGGTTCTGCTGTACTGTCAACCACTCCGCTAAGAGTCAGAAATACGAAGAAGAAATTGAAGACTCTCTTAAAATTTGCACCATGTTCTAGATTCTAAATAGTAAGCAAGCCACATAAACATCCACAGTGTGATTAATTTCCCTAATGGCAATGTGTATGTCATGAAGGTACTTTATTAGATTTAATATCTTTTGGGGGAAAAACACAAGCTTTCAGGGGAAAAAATAACTAAATTCTACTACTAATTAAATGTATATTTTACTTCTTTTTAATCAGAAATAAGACTAATAATTCTCTCGTTGAGAGACTAGACTCATCAATAGTATGTGCATCTATATAAGCCATCAGATATCTTGATATAGATTAGAGGTTAGATACCTGGTCATTTCCCCCACCTTAATAATTCTGAAGTGGCTTGGGACACTGATTAAAAATAGAAATTCTAACTAAAAATGTGCCTAAATGGCAGTTGATGCAAACACAAATTAAACAGGGTGACAGATATTGATTTATGAACAGATTTTATTGATGATCCTGACTCTGTCCCTTAACTATAGATGGCTGAGTCAAAAGTTCAGACGCCTGTCTCAAACTAGGCTAATCAGAGCCTGGGAAAACATCAATGGAGACGCACGGACCAGAAGTGAGAGTGGTATAGAGGGCACTTACTGATCCGTCACCTGTCTCTCCCATCAGGCTCCCCGTAAAACTCCCCCTTTCTTCCTGCAAACACCTCTGCATTGCTTCTTCCCTTAGCCACAGTCACTTAGTATTATAATTTAATCTTCAACCGGTCTTAAGGATGCACCCAGCCTAGATAAATTCTCGATAAGCAACATTTACTACACACATTAAAAAAAGTATTGAGTGTGTTTCTTAAGTGCTGAACTCTTAGCTGGTATAGACGCAACTTGTAAGCACATTTTCTTGTGAGTGTTTTTAGCAATGAAATGTTACCAAATAGCTTAATGACACAGTCAGTGCTCCCATCAATAACCACAAAAATAATAACCTTAATGATATCGTAAAAGTAATAAAAGGATAAAGGTTTCCAAAATTAAAAGTGTTTTTTTTTTTAAAGATTAAAACAACTTCATCCTCCTTACTCGCCACCTTTGTAGATCATGAATCAATGATTTGTAAGGGACAAACTGATGATGCATGAGGACCTTGGTTCTATCCTCTGGGATTATTCAAAGCATGTCCATTCTAGGTGGTATTGAAAGAAAGGACTAAAATTAAACCAGAAAATATACTTTGCAGTCACCTTAAAACCTTGCTTTATTATTTCATAGTAAAAGGAGGTAATATGAGTAAACACCAAAAATATTTTTTAATATCTGAACTTACTGAGATCTAGATATTTTCAAACAAAGAATGAAAGGACAATAGAAAATGTAAAAAAAAAAGTACTTGCATATTTTCAGTAGTTAGGGATTCCAAATGTTAAGACGGAGTTCTTTCAGTCTGACCATGTAGCATCAACTGGGAAGATGGGCTCTTTACCTCTTATTTGATTCATCATCACTTTAAGTACATGTAAGGTGTGAGTTTTAGAGATCTGTATTCCTGGATGTAACTACATTAAATGAATCCATTATTTTATATTACACAGACATTTTCCATTAAATTGAGAAATCAATATGTCTCCATTAAACTTCCAAGTTTATGGAAGTGTTCTTGAGGTTATCCATAGGGCAATCAGACAAGGCATATTCACAGTAAGCACCAGCTCTGTGTTGCAATGAAAACCCATAACTCCAGTGTTTTAAAATATATGCCTCTAGGAATGCTAAAAGCATTTGACAATAATTCATTTCTTAAATGAATACAATGATGTCATCATTCTTACAACCAAAAACTGCCAGGTATAATATTGGGAAATAAGAAGAAAAATATGTTTATGGGTAAATAAAACTGGAAAATTGGTGAATCAGAATTATCATGTATGTACATTCCTACCAGGATGGAACCTCACATTCATGACTTCAAGACAAAATAATTAAAAATTTTATGTACAATGAAAGTATCTCTTCTTTTGTCTCTTCCTCTATAAGGGAATGTATTTTGAAAAAAAAATGAATGCTCTTTCTCTCACTGTACAGTTTTAATAATACGAATCACTTAAACTTTGGATTTGTCTTATCCAAGATTCTCAATCTGAGAAAAAAAGATGTGTGACCAGGAGTCAGTCTTTATGTAAATTATCTACCACTCTAAATTTCTACAATATACTAATTGTCTCTTTCTATTCATAGTGATTGTGTTATTTTTGGCATCAGGCACTTCTCCGGGGCAAATTATTTGGATAATTTTAAAAAATGACCATAGAAAGTATCATTTAACTAACATTTTAGTTTAATTGATAATTATAACAACAAAGTCATGGAGGTATATGAATATAATCATTTGTCCCCTTTACTCCTGAAATACGCCAGATGAGAATCTCTTTTCTAGTTGCTACCATCTGGTAGCATAAAGGTGTTACTACAGGTAAAATTATGATGACCCATACACTTAACATATAAGATTTAAAGTGTGAGGAACTATTTCTGTTCATTAAACTGCTGATATTTCAAACAGAAACGTTTTTTTCCCCTGAATTTACCTTGTAAAGATCTGACACAATGCCAGATCACGTCTGATAGCTGTTGAGCAGTCACTGCCTTGTTTACGCCACTTGTTTTTTATTGAACACGAACTAGAAGTCAGATCTCTTGAAAAGCAGGCAGTAAACACGTAAAACATTATCCTATGATAAGGTCTTTCTTAGAAGCGTGTAAACAACAGCCCATGTATAGGGGGTGGTGAGGCAAGAAAGTGTTCCGCAGCTACAGGCTTAGATCCTGGTGTTGGACAGACGTAAGTGTTCCTCCTCATTCACTAACTGTGCGGCCTTGGTAAGTAATTTAATCTTTGTTTTCTTCACTCTAAAGTGCAGACTGTGACATTAACTATCTCACATGGGTATGGTCACGTAACAAAGTACACGAGTACCACGCAACACACCGACTCCGTGAGTGCTCAGGAGGGCTTGGTGCTGTTACTATTGTTGCTGTAATTACTGTTCATCATTACCTTTGATAAAACTATTTTTTTAACAAATAATAATAATAATATTCAGTGTCTTCTGTTTTGATTTTTACAAACCTAACAGGCAGCAATCAGGGCAAATATTATTACTCCACACAAAAGGTGAAGAAGCAAGCTTGCAGACTTTGATGGCTTTTTTGAAGAACTGAAGCTGGAAGATGGCAGCTTCTAGAAAGAAATACAGTTGTTTAACCCTATGTTAACCCTATGTTTAACTGAATTGTGTGACAGCATGATTCCCTGATGACCTTTTTTTAGGGTATGTGAATTATCACATTGGCTGATTCAGTTACTCCTGGACAATCACTTAGAACCTTTTGGAGTTAAATAAAATGTACAGCTTACTCTTCACCTACATTCTTATTCAGATCTCTCTCTTCCTCATCTATCTGTGGAATGGACCCTTCACTGACCCTCACTTTCTGTACCCCTGAAAAGTTTTATCTTGCGGTCATGTCACTATGCATTTATTATACACCAAGTATCATATACCCTCTCTGATTCACAAGTATTTTAATACTCACTTATGAGGAGCATGACTGCATTCAGTAAATTTTTTTAAATGTATTTTTATAATTCTGATGTTGATATTTTGTTACACAGTTGCAAATACATGCTTACGGACTGTGCACTCAAGTAGAAGGTGTCTGAGAAATCCACAAATTTTAATTAATCACTGCATGATTAAACCACTTGAATTATTTCTAAATAGACATCTTATAAAATTATACTTTAATACAGGAGTGCTATGAAATTACACATTTGGATACTACTTTGTGTTACAACAGCAAGAACTGTTAAGCAGAAATGATGAAGCCATTAGTTACCTACTTATGTAAAAAAAGATTACATAACATATATTATATAATAGATATGGCATATATATATATAATGCCCTGTAGAGTTTCTTTCCTATTACTGAATGTCACATTTTAACAATGAGCATGAAGCTGTAAAGTTCATTTTTAATTGTGTTTCATCTCCTTTTAACCTAAGAAAAAAATCTGATCGTGTAAAAGCATTTTGATAAGTTGTATGCCTGACTCATATTTTCTCAGATAATTAGTGGAGATCATTGGATGCTGGGTGAAAAGAGGGCTGCAAAATCGTGTTCTGTCATATCACTTTAGTTTTCATAAACTCAGGAAGTCCTTTTAGAGGCATGTTACAAATTTAGCTATCCAAGGGGCAATTTGTGCTTTAGAGCTAAAGACTGACTTCAATTTTTTAAATTATCTAAGTGATTCTGTACATTTCCGCTTTCCAAAGATACCATAAGTAAGGCATTCAGGATATTTTCCAAAAATGTTGCTAAATATAATAAGCTTTTAAACATTGGATCAGTTTCAGAATTTGAGAATTATGATAACTTCTTACACTAGGTTTCCAATCTAATTTACAGACAGATTTAGGAGAGGGTTTTTTTTATTATTTTTATAAATTTTATACAAATTGATTCTTAATCTTAATGTTTTATATATTTATTTACTATTGTATCATTTTATTTTATCTTGGTAGGGAGAAGTGATTAGGTTTATTTATTTTTAGAGGAGGTACTGGGGATTGAACCCAGGACCTCATGCTTATCAGGCACGTGCTCTACCACTTGAGCTGTACCCTCCCCTACAAATTGATTCTTAATGTATCATTCAGTGTAGAGCAGGGGCAAAGCTTCCTTATGACCATTTGCTTTTATTTTGATTTCTGTATCTGACAATATGTCTTGAAACCCATCAACAGTAAAACAAAAGAAAAATATACAGATAGACAGGCAGATAGATAGACAGATAGATTGATCAAACTACAAACTCTAAACTCTACAGTATTAAGGAAATAGGAATCTCTTTATACAGTAATGGAAGCACCTTGAATTTCTCATTTCAATAGCTCACTGAATTTGAGGAACAGCTTTCTAGCACTAGCACATACATAATCTGGTTTACGCAGTGTACTTGTTCAATAAGAGAGCTGAGTCCAGCTGTTAAATAAAAATGCCTTTACAGTACAGACCCCTTAAGTACAAGGCACTTCCAAACATTAAAATTTCAGAATATCCCTGTTATTACATCGATTAGTTGTGGACCTTCCTGAGACACTTAATACTTTTGGAAGAAATAAAGTTTGGTAAAACTTACAAAGCATTCTAAATAAAATTCAGTGCACTTAAAATTAAGCAAATCTTATTAATATATGCTTGCTTGTTTTACACTTCACAGTAAAAGACAGACAGAACACAACATACACTATGAAAGTCCTTAATATGTGGTACCTTGTGCACAAAAGAGGTTCTATTCAAAATCCAAAGTGAAGACTTCTCAGAATGTATATTATTGTAAAACCCCTTAAAAACCTTTCTGAACCATTTACAGGTCTAACCTCATAGAAACATCTCATTGTCTATTTAAAGTAGAATTAGTGAGAATTTCTCCTCTGAAATTCTAATTTTTATATTTTTGAAAGTTGTTGCCGGAATATTAATTTGGATACTAACAGTGGGTCACTGTGTATGGTTAGTTAAAGAATGAATTTCCCCTAGAGTTCTATTAGTGCTTAGTAACTTCCATCTCTCAGAAAAAAAAAAAAAAGCTATCATTAACTTATCCCACTAGATGTTAGCTAGTGAGTTCACAATTTTGCTATCAACTAAAGGAGAAAAATCCACAAGCATACCTAATATCATCCAGTGAGACGATCTATAAACATGATCTACAAACATGCAAGTGAGAAACTCAAACTGGCTTCTCTTTTTCCACCGTTTTCAAACTGTAATGAATTTTTTATTATCTTTCATTTAATTCCATGTAGGTTTATTCTGGCTGATAACATGATCTATTGTTCTCTGAGCCATGGCGAGCTTGCCATTTCTTAAACAGACAGCACTTATTGGAAATTAAACCTCTACTAATGTATTATAATTATTACTGGAGGGTAATTTGCTGCTCCAGCAGGGAGTCACAGCCAATGTGAAGGTAACGTTTCTTCCAGGGAGCTGTTAATATTTCTTCTACGCTGAAATCCCACATAATGGATCTTGCCTGAGGCTGATTAATGATTTCAGAGCTGGAACAGTGATTTGTAGCTAAATCAGTCCTCACTGGAGGAGACTCAGGGTTATTTCAGTCAATACTGTTAAATAAGTGCAAACGGTAACTGCAGTTAACACACATGTAATCTAGTAGGTATGAAAGAGAGAAGCAATGAAGGGAAGTAAATAATGGTAATCCTGCTGTCTGTGCATTTCATTTACACTTAGAACCGTACGGGGAAGTAACACACTGCAGTGTCATCAAACCCATGGGATGGCTTCACGGCAACACATTTTTCTGCACTGAAAAAGCAATTTTCCAAACAAGTAAAAGCAAATTGAGCTAAGTGCCTAAAATAAATCAGCATGTGCCCTCCATTCTTTAGTTTATATCACCTTCCTCGCTGGAGAAGAAATTGGACAAATAACTTGGATCGAAACTCGTGCAAGACAGATTTAAAGTAAGGAGAAAGGTTGCATTTAGGATCATACCTTAAGAGCATATAGAGCTCCAACATCATACATGCTACCCAAGCTGTCAAGATTCCATCCTCATCGGAAAGGATGCAGAGCATCCAGCCACAGGAAGTAATCTTGAGGTCCCTTTGCCCGAAGGCCTACATGAGGACTGTGTGGAATCAGTACTGTCTACTCACTCAGTGTAATCCTTCTCTGTCAACAGGAAGCCAATATCAGCAAAAAGGCAGTGACAGAGCTGAAATAAACGACAATGTTAGGGACCTTAATGTGCATCCTCCAACATGTATTTCACTAATAGTCCTACTTCCCATTGTTCCGATATTCTAGACAGAAAGCAAGAGACATTTACAAGCATTCTGATAAATGTTGTTTGCCCAGGGTCCCTGGCTTTTGACTAGCAAAATTAACTAATAAGAAATGAGTGTAAATAACTCAGGGAAAGAAGAAACGATACTGAGTTAATGCTGAGAGTCTAGACATACCCTCATTGTGAGCACTGACATCACAGTGATTCAAGACGTAAGAGTGAAATCTGCAGATACCTTTACTTAGCTCTAAATATAATTCCAGGTAAAACACAAAATATGGACCACAACTTGTTTATTAGGTTTTCAAGAACCTGGAATCTGGACGTACCAAATATTGTAAAGAAACATCACTGCATGTGTAATATGAAATTTTTCCCTTTGTTCTGTTACTGGAGAAATATATATATATGTGAAAATAATTGGTATCAGGCTTTTAAGAACTATGTCTGAGCTGCTATTCAATCTTGACTTCTACACACACTACACAGCTCATACACACACACACACACACACATACACATCTGTGTGCCTAAGTACACATAGCCCTTGAATCAATGGCTTTTAACCTTCAATCAGAATCAATACCAAACTACATCTTAACCTTCAATCAAATCAATACCAAACAGTGTTTCTCAGTTAATAATACTGGACATGACACATGAGATTTTTTTTTCCCTCGATAGGATCAAAAAAAATCAAGTGCAGAATTAATTTTGCCAAAGCGTAAGTTTCTGCCCTTGCTAATAAATACAGGTGTTTGGTGGATCCTCTACACACATATTTTATCTGGTTATTTGCAGTCAGACTTCTTGGTTTCATATCCTATTTGTTATTTTTTAAATAGATTTATTAAATATAATTCACATACCATACAATTTACCCACTTAAAATGTATAATTCTACAGATTTAATATATTCACAGAGTTGTGATGTCATCACCATAATACTATTTTAGAACATTTTCGTCACCCAACATGAAGTCCCCATAACAGTGACTCCCTTTCTCTACCCTCCATCCTCAGTTACTAGGCAACTGTTAATTCATTTTCTGTTTCTGTAAATGCACTTCTTCTGGATAGGCCATATAAATGGAATCAAACAGTATGTGGTCTGTTGTGACAGGTTTATTTCATTTAGCATATTTTCAAGTTTCACCCTGTTAGCATGCATCAGTATCTCATTCCTTGACAGTACAATATTCCACTGTGTGGATACAGTACATTTCTTGTTCCATTTATCAGTTGGTGGGCATTTGGGTTGTTTCCACTCTTTCAATATTAGGAATAATGCTGTTATGAACAATTGTGAACTGGTTTGTGTGTGGACATGTTTCATTCCTCTTAAGTCTATGTAGGAATAGAATCGCTGGGTCATGTGACACTTCATTTAACATTTTGAGGAACTATGAAACTATTTCCAAAGCAACTGCACTATTTTGCATTCCTATTATCAATATAGAAGGACTCCAATTTTTTCAGAACCTCATGACATTTGTTATTATAGCCATCCTAGTGGGTGAGAAGTGGTATCTCCTTATGGCTTTGACTTGAATTTCCATAGTGACTAATGATTCTGAATATTTTTCATGTGTTTATAGGGCATTCATATGTCTTCTTTGGACCCTTTGCCTATTTGTAAATTATCTTTTTATTATTGATTTGTAGGCATTATTTTATATTTTGCATATGCTTTTCATATATTTGCTTTGACAATATTTTTCCCATACTGTGAGTCGTGTTTTATTTTCTTGATAATGTCCCTTGATCCACAAATATTTCTTAATTCTTAAGTCATTCAATTTATTTTTCTTTTCTGTTTCTTCTTTTGGTATCATGTCTAGGAAATCTTTACCTAAACCAAAGTCATTAAGATTTACTCTTATGTGTTCTTCTAAGATCTTTATTATATGTAGCTCTTACATTGTGGGCTATGACTCATTTTTGAGTGAATTTTTGAGTGTTTCAGGGAAGAGTCCAACTTTATATATTGCATGTGGATAACCAGTCACACCAGTATCATTTGCTATAGAGTCTAATTAGTTACTGCTTAATATTGAATAAGATACTTGCCTATTTTAAACCTAGCATCTTCATTAGTAGGATGAGATGATTGATAAAAGTGCCTAATTTACTCAGTTAGCTTCAGAATTAAATTCAGTAATACATATAAAATTTCTAATATAATATTTAATACAAAGTACTTGCATTTTAGCTCTTAATAGATCTCCACAGTGTGTCTTTACCTATTTGTTCCCTCTGCATTAGGTCTTCTCACTATATCACCTACTGTTTTGGAAAGAATTATATTCTTAACATGCTCTCTTTTCTTTATCCCTATGTGAAAGAAAAAAAAAGGGGGGGGATGGGAGGGAGAGAGAAAGTTGTCTCCACGTGACTTTCTTGGCCTCTACTTGAGAATTACCTGATGAGATAATTCACACTTGAAAATACAGAATGATTAAAAATTTGCTATTCTTTAATGGAATTATACTGCTTTCATGTAGATATGGATACAGTACCCTAACATTTATTGGCATCATTTATTTGTGTGTTAAAGGCTCCTAAAGACACGTGTCCCCTGTTGTGGTACAATATGAAAGATACATGGCCTTCATCCTTGTTGTTAGCACAGCTCCTAAAATCTTTGAAAGTTCCTGAGTGATAAGGGTAGTAGGAGCATCTTTCGTTTTAATGAGGCAACTCTTGTGGGCTAGTATGAGGAGATGGCTTCAGTATGAAGAGTGGGTTCAGATAGCCTCACGTGGAGGTGCTAGGAGAGTGGTGAACCCGGAGGGTACGGAAACTCTGC